GGTGGTCTGGGGTGGAGATGTACAGCTGAGTGTCGTCAGCGTACAGGTGACATTTCACCCCAAAACCATGGATGATCTCACCCAGCGGCTTCACATAAATGTTGAACAGGAGGGGCGAGAGGACCGACCCTTGCAGCACTCCCCATGCGAGATGCCTCGAGGTCGACCTCTGTCCCCCTGCCAACACAAACTGCGAGCGGTTGGAGAGGAAGGAGGAGAACCACCGCAGAACGGTGCCCCCTATTCCCAACCCCCTCAACCGCCGCAGCATGATACCATGGTCAATGGTATCAAAAGCCGCTGAGAGATCTAATAGGACTAGGACAGAGGAACAACCCCTGTCCCGAGCCCTCCAGAGATCATCCACCAACGCGACCAATGCCATTTCTGTGCTGTGCCCCTGCCTGAAGCCCGACTGGCACGGGTCCAGATAGATAGCTTCATCCAGGTGTCGGGGAAGCTGTCGTGCCACCACGCTCTCAACAACCTTCGCCACAAAACGAAGGTTGGAGACCGGACGGTAGTTGGCTAATTCAGCCGGGTCCAGGGAAGGCTTCTTGAGGAGGGGCCTCACTACCGCCTCTTTCAAGGCGGCAGGAAAGGCACCCTCGCTCAAAGAAGCAGTTATAATCCCCTGGAGCCAGCCTCGTGTAACCTCCCGGGAGGCCAGTACCAACCAGGAGGGACACGGGTCCAATAAACACGTGGCGGCACTAATCTTACCCAGAACCCTGTCCACATCCTCGGGAGCCACAGGATCAAACTCCTCCCAGATAACATTCTCAAGACCTGCCCTCGTCTCCTCCCGTGGACTCATCCAATCGGAGTCCAAGCCATCCCGAATCCGAGTGACTTTATCGTGCAGGAATTGCACAAAATCCTCAGCACGACCCTGCAAGAGATCTTCCCGCACTCCCCCCCGAAGAAGGGAGTGGGTCACCCTAAACAGGGCGGCTGGGCGTTTCTCTGCAGATGCGATAAGAGCGGAAAAATGGTTAGATTTTGCCACTTTTATCGCCACTAGGTAGGTCTTGATATAAGACCTCACCTGTGTCCGGTCGGAATCGGATTGACTAGTCCTCCAAATGCTCTCTAGGCGTCTTTTCCGACGCTTCATCTCTCTCAGCTCCTCAGAGAACCAAGGAGCCAATTGAGATCGGCATCGGGTCAGAGGCCGCAAAGGCACGACGCGGTCCAAAGCTCCAGCGGCCGCCCTTTCCCAGGCGGCCACCAGCTCTTCAGTCGAGTCGTGTGTCAGAGTCTCAGGAAACGGCCCAAGCTCCGTCAGGAACCTTTCGGGGTCCATCAGGCACCTGGGACGGAACCATCTGGTCGGTTCCATCTCCCTGCGGTGGGGGAAAGCGGTAGGAAAGTCCAGGTGGAGGAGCGAATGATCTGTCCATGACAAGGGTTTGATGTCTAGATCCCCTCTACCAAGATCATTCAACCACTGACCAGAGATAAAAATCAAGTCCAGAGTGTGTCCCCCTATGTGAGTGGGGCCTTGAACTACCTGGGTCAGGTCCATGGCCGTCATGGAAGCCATGAACTCCCAAGCCACCTCTGACGCCTCACCCGCAGATGGAAGGTTGAAATCCCCCGTGACAATAAGTCTGGGGGTATCAACCGCCACCCCGGCAATGACGTCGAGTAGCTCGGGCAGGGTCGCTGCCATGTGGCAGGGAGCCAGGTACGTGGCCAGCAAACCCATCTGCGCGGGGGGGGGGGTAGGGATTTTTGCTACCGGTTCTCTGAACCTCCCGCCGCCATCGCTACTGGATCGGGCGATCAGGTCTGAACCGGGAGCATTTCACCCCTGGTTCAGAGGCAGTCTACCTTGGTACACTGGTTGCTGTAAAGCAGCAGTTCTCAAACATTTTTACCTCAGGATGTTTTTATCTCCTTAAAAATGACCTAAAAGACCTTTAGTTTATATGGGTTATACATGTCTCAGTGTTTAAATGGAGACATGTTAAAATACAGAGAGTCCTCAACTTATATGTTGACTGTAATGGAGCCTGCCCATCATAGTCATAAATCGTGACAGTTATGAAATGACCGAGCCAATTTTACAACCTTTTTTTGTGGCAGTCGTTAAGCAAACCAATGCGGTCTGGTTTCTGAAAACTGGAAGTAAATGCCAGTTTGAGGTAAAACCATCATAAAACGTGGTCACACAACCGCGGGAACGTTGCAAACATCTGTAAATGTGGGCCAGCTGCTGAGCGCCCAGCATGCAGTCATGTGACTATGTAGGTGGGTGGGACGGCCATTGGAACGTCAGAACTGGGAATTTCATAAGTACCCCTAGGTAGGTCCATTCTAACTCTGAACGGTCACTAAGCATAAATGGAGGACTACCTGGATTTTTTAAAAATCTGACTTTGTGAATACCCTGAAAGAGTCTCGGGGGGCCTCCAGGCAGTGGTGAAATCCAATTTGTTTTTTACTACCGGTTCTGTGGGTGTGGCTTGGTGGCCGTGGCAGGGGAAGGATACTGCAAAATCTCCATTCCCATCTCATTCTGGGGCCAGCCAGAGGTGGTATTTGCCAGTTCTCCGAACTGCTCAAAATTTCCGCTACCGATTCTCCAGAACCTGCTGGATTTCACCCCTGCCTCCAGGGGTCCCCATTCCCTACATTTTGAGAACTACCGTTGTAGAGCAATGCTGAGCGTTCCCATCTGCTTCCCTCTGTGGGGTTCAGAAGCAGGTGATTGACCAGTTGCTAAATTAAATTGTGTTTAATCTTGCAAATGAAACTCAGCGTGTGTGTTTTCAAATGAGTCTTGAGATCCCGGTAAGAACACAGATAATTCTGTGATGTTTTCTAAGCACGTTTCCAGAAGCGACTTGCCCTTGCTGTCTTCTTTCTAGGGCTGAGCGAGAGGGACTGGCTCAAGGTCACCCAGAGCTGGCTATTGTGCCGAAGGCAGGATTAAAACTTGCAATCTCTCAGCTTCCAGTCCAATGTTTTGAATCACTACCACTAAACAAGCTTGGAACACCAAGAATAGGATTATATTATCTACTTCTGAATGCGAGCACCTGGGGTGGGGGGGACCATGTTGCTTTGCCCCTCTGATTTATGGAACTTCCTGGAAGCATCGAGGCAGCATATGGAGAATTCTGATTTTTCTGTAGCACTTTTAAATATTTTACAAATGCTTTCAAATTACTTCAGTTAATGGATAATACCTGGAGAGCTCCTGGAGATTATCAAAGCCAACTCCTTCATCAACCTACAAAAAGAATCTTAAACAACATTTTTCATGGCTTGCCTCTTTGACAGGATAAGACTGAGGAGAAAAACACAGTGAAGTCAAATGTTGCTAATCACATGCTGGCAAATTAAGTCTGAATATTATTTCAGAAATTCTTCTAGTTAAATGCCAGAATTTCTCAAATGAGGGGCGGGGGGGGGCAAGCTTCTCAAAAAGCAAACACATATATTTTTCTTCAACATCTTAAAGGCTAGAAAGATAGAGAAAAACAGTACCAATTGTCTTATTGCTGAATTTTGCATCCATATCTTTCAGATATTTATGACACAGTCGAAGACTGAAGACCGAACCAAGGAGGGTTGTAACTACATGACTTTGTTCGGAAGTTTCTTATTTTGTGGTGGTGGTTCAGTGGTTAAGATGCTGGACTTGTTGGCTAGAAAGCTGGCAGCCCAGGTTCGAGACCCTGAGTTCCACATGATTGGGTGAGCTCCCAAGCTCGCCCCAGCTCCTGTTAACCTAACAGTCTGAAAGCATGCAAATGCAAATAGATAAATAGGTACCAATTTGGTGGGAAGGTAACAATGCTCTGTGATGTCATGCTGGTCACATGATCGCAGAAATGTCTTCGGACAGTGCTGGCTCAATGGCTTTGAAATGGTGATGAGCAGCGTCCCCTAGAGTTGGCAACAACTACGAGAATAAAATCCTTTAACAGAATAACACAGTTGGAAGAGACCTTCAAGGTCTTCTAGTCCAACCGCCTGCTCAGGCAGGAAATGCTATACCATTGATGGCGAACCTTTTCAGCATCGTGTGCCCAAACCGGAACATGCCCTGGAAACTCAAAGACCAGCTGGGCAGTGCACATGTGCACACCGGCCACCTGGTCTTCTGGTTCCAGCATGCACATGGGCACCAGCCAGCTGGTCTTTGGGTTTCCGGGGCTCCAGCACGTGCAAAGATCAGCTAAGAGGTCTGTAAGGGGCATGCATAAGAGCACCAGCGTGCCTACCGTCCCTGTCCTAATGTTTCCTCTATTTATATCTATTTTATGTATCCAATCTATGTTTATACTTATTATCTAATACGTTCTTGACAAATAAAATAAAAATAAAAAAATAAAAATAAAAATCCCTCTCACAGTAATTACTATTGTGCCAGGTACCACCTATACTATACCTGTACATTTTGTTTTTCTTGCCTAAAAACCTTACTTTTTTCACCATTGAATTTCATTTTGTTAGATAGTGCCAATGTTCAAGGGATCTGCCAAGATCCTTCTGTATTTTAAGCCTATCTTCTGGGTTATTGACTATTCGTGCTAACTTGGTGTCATCTGCAAATTTGATGTGTTCCCCATCTATCCCCTCGTCCAAATCATTGATGAAGACGTTGAAGAATACTGGGCTTAAAACAGAGCCTTGGGGGCACCTCACTGCATATTTCCCTTCATGTAGATGCAGTTCCATTGAGGACTACACATAGAGTGAGGTTGTTCAGCCAGTTACGAATCCATCTGGTGGTGATGCTGTCCAACCCACATTTTTCTATCTTATCAAGTAGTAGGTTATGGTCTACTTTATCAAATGCTTTACTGAAGTCCAAGTAAATTATATCCACAGCATTTCTTTACCTTCTACTAATGTATTTTTTTTTCTTGTGCTTGTGTTTCCTACATTTTGCCACATTTTTTCATTCCTTTACTTATTATCTTTATTTCACATCTTTCCTTCCACATTCTTTCATGCATGCCAATCTTAAATCTTTGCATTAGATGGAGAAAAGGGAGGAAAATAAACTGCAGCCTATAGGAGGAAGGATAAAAGCTATTTTGCATCCTTAATCACCAGCTTCTACAGATAGAAGAAGTGATGGGGATGTCCTGTAATATACAGGTAGTTCTCAATTTACAACCACAACTGGGAAAAACATTTCTGATGCTAAGCACAGTGGTTGTTAAGTGAATCGCGCCTAATTTTGTTGGGAGAGCCGAGAAAGTCACATATAGCTGGGAAAGTCACATATGTGGCTCACATGACCTTAGGATCCTGCAACCCTTGTAAATACAGGTTGCCAACTGCCTGAATTTTGATCACGTGATCCTGGGGTTGTTGTGACGGTCATTAGTGTGAGGACTCCCAAGTAATTTTTTTCAGTGCCATTGTAACTTTGAATGGTTGCTAAATGAATGATTGTAATTCAAGGATGGCCTCCATAACGAATTTCCTTTCTTGCCATGGCGTTTAGGTTCTCTGAGAGTAATTATCTAAGGAGAATCCTTATCTCACTTCCCTGGATGAAATACTTTCAAATTCTGTGAACAATGAAGTATAAGACAGACAGCTACCGTATTTTTCGGAGTATAAGACACACCGGAGTAACTAATGCAGCTTAGTTTTTGGGGAGGAAAATAGGAAAAAACAAATCTGCCTACCAGGTATTCAGCTACCACCAATAGCCTCCCACCGACCAGTACGCTCCCATAGAGAGGGACTCCTCCGGGTGCCGTCGGCCAAACAATGTCGACTGGCGGCCCCAGGGGGAGAGCCTTCTCTGTGGGGGCACCTACTATCTGGAACGAACTCCCCCCGGAGATACGGAGGATCCCGGATCTGCGTACCTTCCGTCGCGCGCTCAAGACTTTCCTATTTCATCAAGCCGGCCTGACCTAAGTCTTCCCCTTTTTAAATAGAAATGTTAAATTTGGTTTTAAATTATTGGGGTTTTAAATTTGTTCAGCCAAATTATTTAATTCGTTTTAGTCTATTTTAAATTTTGTATTTATATGTTTTATTCTATGGCTGTTCACTGCCCTGAGTCCTTCGGGAGTAGGGCGGTATACAAATTCAATAAAATAAAATAAAATAAATAAAATCTGGCTAGCGTCCTTAGTCTGGTCAGCTTCAGCACATTAATTTGCTGGTTTTTTATCCCCTGCTTGGGGATAAAAAACATCTTCTAAGGCACAGCTGAGAGGAAGCAGCAATGAGAAAAGCTGGCAAAGCAGGGGGGGGAGATCGCTTCACTCGGCTAGCACCTAGTTAGGGCTGGAAAAAAGCTTCTAAAGAACAGCTGAGAGTCGGAGCAAAGCATGGAGATCGCTTCACTCACTAGCGCCTCATTAAAGCACAGTGGAGAGTCGCTGGCTAGTGCCTCGTTAGCAACTCGTTAGGGCTGAAAAAAACTTAAAAAAAGCTACATTCAGAGTATAAGAGGCATCCAAATTTTCAGCCTCTTTTAGGGGGGAAAAAGGTGTGTCTTATACTCCGAAAAATATGGTAATCTTACAGTAAAACAAAAGGAGGCATGCTTTCTGAGCCTTGACAAAAGCGTAAATGCTCAAATAAAATATTTTAATTCCATATCATAAAAATATTCTTACACGGGTTAGAAACCTTAATTTGTTTGAAGGCTACATTCTTTTGAAATTGGGATTTCCATACATTTTTATCCTGAATTGGAATATGTACATGGAATTGTCGAGCAAAAAGATGCTGGCTGATAAAAGAGAATTTGGGTTAAATATTAGAAGGAATTTCTTTGTGAGGTGAGGAGTTGCAATTGTGTGCATAGTATGAATTCTTTTGAAGTAGGAAATAGTGGATTCTTTTTTCTTGAAGATCTTTAACCAGAGTTTGGATGTCCACCAACCACAAAGGCCGGGGCAGCGAGTGTCCTATGTCAGCAAATAGCTGGATTAGATGACCTTTAGAGTTTCCTTCTCACTGTGTGATTGTATAAACACATTCGGCATTTGCTGTTAGAGCTCCTGGTCTATTTTTCTATCTATCGTGAACTCATCAATTTTATTAGATGTAACCCCCTTTTATTTTTACACTAAAGATCCTCTTATTTTTTTATAAAGCCCTCTGCTTTATTTAAACACGGGCGAATAAAAGCTAGTGGAAACCGATTGCCATTTGAAGAATTAATGTCCGTGAAGGACAGCATATTTCAGCTTTCTGGTGTTTACCTTGAAAGCATCCCAAATTGTTTTTCAGACATTGGGGATGGCAGAGATCCAAAAGTCGTGGAGAGAAGCAGCCTGAAGGGAGATGAGAGGCCCTTTCAAAGGTTCCTAAACATCTCAAGGATGATAGAATAAATTAGAAAGAGGGGAAACTCTACTGACTTCGGAGGGAGGAGCAAATCCCAAATTTCTGACCCATGAAACTGAATGGATGGTCCTGGGCCAATATTTTTTCAACCAAGCTCATACAGCTACTTATTATTATTATTTATTTATTTTTATCCAGTCTTTATTATTCATGTAGAAGATGTCAGGGTTTCAAGTAATAGACCCATAGCAAGCAAAACTCCAAGGCAATTGGATTCCTCAAAAGGGTAGCTTTATTGGAAATATCATATTGACACATATCTGGTGAAAACCGACTCTGAGGGTTCCCGAGGATTTCACCTACCGTATTTTTCGGAGTATAAGATGCACCGGAGTATACGACGCACCTTAGTTTTTGGGGAGGAAAATAAGAAAAAAACTGATTGGCAGGTGGATCTGCCTCCCAGAATACCCCCAATCAGCTGTTCCTAGAGGTGAATTTTAGCAACAGGTTCCTTGGTTGTGAGCTCTGTGCCTTGCTTTTTTTTTTTGCTTTTTTTTCTGCCTCTGAAAGCCTCTAAAACAGAGCTTCAGAAAAAAAGCCTCTGAAGCTCTGTTTTGGGGCTTTTTTTTCTGAAGCTCTGTTTCGGGGCTTCTTTTCTGAAGCTTCGTTTCTGAGGCTTTTTTCAGCCTCTGAAACCTCAGTTTGAGAAGCTGGGCAAGGCTACATTCAGAGTATAAGACTCACCCAGATTTTCACCTTCTTTTGGTGGGGGGGGGGAGGAAAGGTGCGTCTTATACTCCAAAAAATATGGTAATTAAAAGCAACCGTTTTTCACTTTCTCAAAATGATCAGTCACATGGTCCAATCACAGCTCCGTCTGGTAACATCACTCCTCCTTCCAGGGACCAGGTGTGAGAATGTCCTTGGTTCTCAAGAGAAAGTATTTTGTTTTGGCTACAAAGTTCCAACTATCTCAATTCCCTCCTCCCTATCCCTCAGCTGCAGTGTGGCAGCACTGAAGCTCCAAAATGGCTTCAGTCAGGTCAGCTTCAAGGTTGACAGAAGACAGTGAAGATACCTAATGCTCATTCGTCCTCTTCCTGTTTTCCCCACAACAACAACCCTGTGAGGTAGGTTGGGTTGAGAAGAGAGGGACTGGCCCAGTCACCCAGCTGGCTTACATACCTATAGCAGGTAGATGTGAGTCTTTTGGTGATTGGCCCACAGTCACCCAGTCAGCTTTCATGCCTAAGGTGGGAGTCGAACTTACCTTCTCCTGGTGATTGGCCCAAAGACACTCAGCCAGTTTTTTGTGTTCCAGGCAGGACTAGAACTTATCGTCTCTTGGTGATTGGCCCAAAGTCACCCAGTCAGCTTTCATGCCTAAGGCGGGAGTAGACCTCACTCCTGGTGATTGGCTAAAGACATTCAGCATTTTTCATGCCCCAGATGGGACTAGAACTTACTGTCTCTTGGTGATTGGCCCAAAGTCACCCAGTCGGCTTTCATGCCTAAGGCGGGAGTAGACTTCACAGTCTCCTGGTGATTGGCTCAAAAACATTCAGCCAGTTTTCATGGCCAGGCGGAACTAGAACTTACCGTTCTCTTGGTGATTGGTCCAAAGTCACCTAGTTGGCTTTCATGCCTAAAGCAAGAGTAGAATTCATAGTCCTCAGCGTCTGAACAGAATAGAATAACAGAGTTGGAAGGGACCTTGGAGATCTTCTAGTCCAACCCCCTGCTCAAGCAGGAGACCCTATACTATTTCAGACAAATGGTTGTCCAATTTCTTCTTAAAAACGTTGAGTGTTGGAGCACCCACAATGTCTGGAGGCAAGTCATTCCACCCACGTGTGTCCATGTCAAAAAAGTCAAGATAGCTACATATACATGTGCAAAAAAGGTAGATCTTCATTTGGTTGGCTGCAGCCACTATTTTATTCCCCCTGCCCCATCTTGTGGCTTGATGTAAGGTGCCCGCTGCAAATGACATAAAACAAAGAAACTGCAAAAGGCAACGATTCTTGCAACTGATTTGGAGAGAGGAAAATTCCAAAGATGCTAAATTTATGCTCAGTAATTTCAGTGGCAGCATTGTCCACAAAATGGCAAACTTCCCTTTGCAATGAGATCTAGAGCCTTGTTTTTATTTTATTTTTTTAAAAAAAAGATGCATGCTGGTTCTTTTTCCTGAGTCAAGAAAAGTTTACAATATTTTTAAAAGTTTTGTTTTGTCCTTCCTGTATTCTGAAGCCACCTTTGAACCAATCCTTTTTTAGAAGAAGAAGAGCACAGTGGATATTTTAAATGCCACTTTGAACAGCTCCTTTAGAAATACAGTAGGCTAAAGCATTTCTTAATTAAGGTGACGCTTGATCTGTTCCATTGATGAATCCTCATTAAGGTGGAAAACTTTTAACAAGGGGGCTGTTCTGTGTTCTGCTTGATTAGGAGTGGGTGTTAACTTTGATAAACTAACAAACAAACAAAGATCAAGACTGTTCAATGTCTTTATAAAGGGACAACTGACCGTATTTTCCAAAGCACAGGAAGGCAACACAAGAAACAATGGATGGAAACTAACCAAGGAGAGAAGCAACCTAGAACTAAGGAGAAATTACCTGACAGTGAGAACAATTAATCAGTGGAATGACTTGACTCCAGAAGTTGTGAATGCTCCAACACTGGAAGTTTTTAAGAAGAGATGGGACAACCACTTGTCTCAACTGGTATAGGGTTTCCTACCTGAGCAGGGGATTGGAAGAATAGAGTAGAGTAGAGTAGAGTAGAATAGAGAGTTGAAAGGGACCTTGGAGGTCTTCTAGTCCAACCCCCTGCTCAGACAGAAAGCCCTATATACCCATTTCAGACAAATGGTTGTCCGATCTCTTCTTAAAAACTTCCAGTGTTGGAGCATTCACAACTTCTGGAGGCAAGTTGTTCCACTGATTAATTATTCTAACTGTCAGGAAATTTCTCCTTAGTTCTAAGTTGCTTCTCTCCTTGGTTAGTTTCCATCCATTGCTTCTTGTCCTGCCCTCAGGTGCTTTGGAGAAGAGCTTGACTCCCTCTTCTTTGTGGCAGCCCCTGAGATATTGGAACACTGCTATCATGTCTCCCCTAGTCCTTCTTTTCATTAAACTAGACATACCCAGTTCCAGCAAGCGTTCTTCATATGTT